GGAGTGCACAGGGACCTCTGCCAAGGACAGGTCAGTAAGGAGCCAGTTCAGGAGCTGGCAAAACCTCCCAGAAATGCACCTGGGAATGGTGCAGTTCTGCCAAGAGCAACCAGAGTCACTGGGAGTCCAGGGTGGCCTCTTGGGTTTTTCTGAGGAGTCCAAAGACCCCTCAGGATTTGCTGGGACTTGGTTGGATTAAGCCCACCAGTACGTTATAACCACTGATGTACACATGGTGGAGGGCTGCAGCAGGCTCCTGTGGCAGCTCTAATGCAAAGCCTCTGAGATTCGCTGGGGCTTGGCTGAGGAGCACACGAGGCCATAAGTTACCAGTGCTGATAACCCTGACACCATCACCATCGCACTTGATGTCAGAGGAAGAGCCACACAAGCCTGAACGGATGAGCAGATGCACAGTCCTCATGAGATGTGTTCCCTTGGTCAATCTGTTCCAGTCTTCTTCTGAGCATCTCAGACACAGAACAGGCAGGTAAATTCGTAAGTTTTAGCTGCAAGTCATCTTTTATTTCAAATAAAAATAAAAGATCAAGGAAAAGAATAAATATGCAGCTTTTAAGTTTCTGATGTACACTGAAGGCCAAGTATATACCAATAATAAATATACCAGGGTGGTACATTTCTTAATTAACTTAAATAAAAATAATAATAACAACAAAACATAAGCCAACAAGACTCTGCCTGGGAAAAAGCCAACACTGGTGCTTTTTATGAGACGTTATGCAAATCCTTCAGAAATCAGCGTCTGTCCCATGGATAGACGGGATTTTGAGAAGAGACATTAAGTGAGAGGGGTCAGTTCACAATTTGTCTTTTGTTTTGCTTCATGAGGTTATTCAGCACAAATGGAGCCGGGAGAACAGAATCTCGGGTAGCTGAAGTCAGTGAATCCAAACTGAATTGCACAAATGGAAAATCCAGCACCTGTTTTTCTAATCCATAGGAGAAGAGGGGTCTGTCAAAGCTGGGTCATCTGCCATCTGGCACGTATTTCCTGTACCTGTCTCTAACCGCGGGCTGATATTTGCTGGCACATTTCCACAATCAGATAAAGGGAACTTATCACCAGCATTTTCAGTTTTGCCTGCTTTCTCTGCAAGCCAGGGACTTTTAAACTGCACATTTTTTAAAAGCTTTGAAAGGTTTCTTTTCCAGCTTTATTTTCAGTCAGGGAAAATTACAGCAAAAAAGTTTTAGGTGTTTTTATGGAAAGTTGCTGATAATTTTAGATCAGTGACAAGGCTTTGGCTGTTCCTGTTGACCTCCCTATGATCTGATTTGGATGTGAATCTCCTGCTTTTCTCTATTGGTTTCAATGGGAGAAAAAGGTTTCCAGGACATATCTGGTGATCACCTCAATGGAGACAGTTGCAGTATCTCTGTTTCAGGGTTCCTCCTCCAATGTCCCACCTGATGGGTCTTCAGTTGAAGCTGGAGTCTGCTTTACTGCTAGCAAGAACTGGGAATAATAATGAGCAAAAATACTGGGAATGACCTTAAACACCCTTTCCCTCCCAACTTAAGGTCGGTTTTCCCATTTTTAGTAAAAATTCTGTTCTTTTCTTCTTTGTCCTTCCCTTTCTCTTAAAAAAAAAATCTCCTTTTTTGACTTTTTGGTTTGGTTTTCTGTTAAGTGAATTAGTTTTTCTGAAGCAGTTTTTTTCCCAGGTCATGATGGCAATATGACAATAGCACCCAATTCAGCACTGCTGTCCTGTGTTTCAGGAGGCGTTTGCAAAGGCCTGATAGGGTCCTCCAGTGCTGCTGCAGCAGAAGCACGTGGTCAGAAGGAGTAATTCTAGGGAGGGAAAAGGTGAAAGAAGGAGAAAAGTTAGGATGGCTGTGTTGATGCAGACACCAGCAGTTCCCATAATCTGAGGTAAAGCTCTGTCTCATCTCTAAAGAGGGGACAGCGGCTCTTGGTTGTGCAAAATGTCCTGAGGTGTCAGTGGGAGGCTGGTTGGACTGTGGGCAAAAGAATTGCTTTCCTCTTTCACTTCGTCCAAAAACCATTTCCTAATTTAGACAGGAAAGGCAAATCTTGAGGGTGAATAACCAGTCTTTTACATGCCAGTCTGTGTGCACGCGACCTGTGCGATTTACTGACCAAGAGAACAGCAGGATCTCATAGGAGCAAGAAAAAAATCCAGCAGTGACTGCTTCAAGCTAAAAAAGAAAGCCCAGCAAGCGCCTGTGTGTTCCCAGGGGGTGTTAGCACGAATATGAACCTTGCTGCTGCACCACGTGTAGGCTATTGACCTAGGGAGACAAATAAGGACCCCAAGGCATGGGTTATTCACCACTGTTTTCCTCAGGTCATGCTGCAGAAGGCCTGAATACAGCCCACCAGAAATATACATTTGGTACTGGTAATGTAAATTATAACTTACAGTAATTACTGTTTCATATTTGATAAGAGATGCATTTTCTGGACATCAACAGATGTTTCGTTTTTTATAGTTTTTTCCCTCTAAGACCTTGTAGGATGGGGTTTATTTAAATCAAGGTCTTCCGTTCTCAGGGTAGGGTTGTATTGCTGTGGCTGCCTTTAACAGACACACCCCGAGGGGTCTGTAATCACCAACACTGGCCTTGCCTTTTCTGGATGCATCTGAATATTGGAGCAGTTGGCGCTAGGAAATCCATCCTTTTCGTCAGGAAAGCAAAGGAGATGACTTTCCAGAGGTTGCTGCATGAGCTTATGTCTGCGCTTCTTCCACCCACTCGTGTCTTATGAATTCACTGATCAACAAGTTTTCCATCATACCAAGGTTCCTCAGCTTCTTACTGTCTATGAATAGCTGAAAATTGTGTTTGCATGGCAAAGGCAATGGACGTGATTTCCAAATTTCCTTCACACAGTGCTGCTCACCTGTGTGACAGCGGCCTGGCTCGTCAAGAGAAAATTTCCTTTTCTTGCAAACTCACACCTCCTCCCCCCATCCCTTGCCCTTGCTTGTACAGAGCAATCGAGTAAAATAGGTGTTGTGCAGTTGACAAAAACTCAGGGTTTTGTTTGCACAAATACTTGCAAAGTCTCCCTTCAGGGTGTTTACTCAGGGCTTGTTAATTAGGGGGTTAATAACGATTTCAGAGCCTGTCTCCATTCTCCTCGCAAAGGTGTTGCAATTCCACTACAAAAAGCAGCCCCATTTTGCCCCAGCGGATGCTCATTATTTCACTCACCAAGATGCTCCTTCTGTTTCAGGCCTGATGTTATGAAACCATACCCTTCCAGCTAATCACTGCTGGAAAGGAGAGGCTTGCTTTACACTCCATGACTTCGATGCCTTGGGTAGTTCAAGTAAGGATCTGCCTCTGTCTTGCCTTGATTGACAAGACCCTTTCTATAAATTTGAGCAATTAAGCAACCCAGTAGCAGCTGCTGGGGAGATCTACTGAGCACAAAGCTGACAGAGATCGCTGAGCAGTTCTCCTGCTGCTTGTCCTGACGTCCTGAAACACCACCTGCAATTTAAAACTGCATGAGGAGATCTGACTCCAAGAAGTTAGGTGAGTGTGCTTCTGCGTTCGCTCTGTGTCACGGCTCCGGCCCATGAATAAAGCAGCAGGTTTTGCTAAAGTAGCAAAGAACAAATGTTCAATTTGTTCTGAAGTTCATCTCTTTGGCCCTCAAATGTCTGCTTTTATAAATAAGGAATTGTAGCTTTTTTTTCATTCTGTTGAAGTTTATATATAAACATACACTCATTTAATAATATATAAGACTGTAGTGTATGCATGGCCACATCTGTGAAGGGTTCACCATTCATGTGCTGATCTAAAATTCTGATTTAGCAAATTTAAAGCATTTGGTTTAACAGGAACCTAGAGACTCATACACCAGTCAGGACAAAGGCAGGCCAAGCTTTTTTAACTTAAATGCTACCCAGCTGAGGTTGCAGCCCAGTGCACACAAGCCTGTGTGCCCCATGCAGTAGCTGACTTTCTCAAAGTTAAGGGTCAAGTCTGGGGTTTCTAGGTGGACATTTTAAAATGCAACGTAAGCATGTGAGGTATAAAATGGATCTTGTTGCGTAGAGCTACTTTCCAGCTCTCTTTTTTGACAGAAAGTTTTCCAATGTGGCTGGTATTTTCCTTCACTGATGGTTTGAGATAAAAGGCAGCAGAGGGACTTGGCTGATACTTGACTGCTTGGAAGGATGAGGAGCCTGAGCGTCCTCTGGTCACCTTGGCCATATCCCCTCCATTTACCCAGCTCCATTCACTGGCTTAGCAGCCTTGGTTGTGTCTGAGCTGGTTGGTGGGGCAGTGTGTGCAGGAGGCACAACCAAGAGGAGCATTTGCCTCTCTGGTTGCAGCCCTGGGAGTGGACTAGCACTAGCCCAGTGCTCAGGGTATTGGTGATGGCAACTCCAGTAACACTTATGGGAGATGCTGATGTCTCTCCAGAGATTATAGCACAAGTTCAGGGATGCTTGGCTCCTAAAAGGATAAACCTGGGATTAAGCACTCTCATTCAAATGCCAGTCTTACCTGCAAACCTAACCCTGCCTAATGATGGACCTGCAGCTCTGCAGGCAAGTAAGGAATCTGCCACCTCCCATAGGTGTGGATGACAGACAGACGGAGAGACAGCCCTTCCCAGCTGACCCTGCCAGGGCCAGTGCTGCCTGGGTCTTTAGCCAACAACATGTGTGTGTGCTGAGAGAACAACCAAAGGCCAACCCAACCGCTAGCCTGGTGCAAGCTCAGGGCAACCCAGTGGGGGTGGGTGAGAAAGACATTTGCTACAAAGATTGGAAGGGACCTTAAAACTCCTCCAGTCCAACCCCTGCCATGGGCAGGGACACCTCCCACCAGCCCAGGCTGCTCAAAGCCCTGCCCAACCTGGCCTTGAACACTGCCAGGGAGGGGGCATCCACAGCTTCCCTGGGCAACCTGTGCCAGTGTCTCAGCACCCTCACAGTAAAGAATTTCTGGCTCCCCCAGCCCTCCTCTGACCTCCCTTCTCCCTCAGCATGAAGCTCCGTGGTGTGATCCTGGGCGCTCTGCTCCTCCTGCCTCTGGCGGGTTGCGGCAGCACAGCCAAGACCTCCGCCATCGACCTGCGCACCTTCATCGGCTGTGCCGTGCGCGAGTTCACCTTCCTGGCCAAGAAGCCTGGCTGCAGGGGGCTGCGGGTGACAACGGACGCATGCTGGGGACGCTGCGAGACCTGGGAGGTGAGGCTGGGCCTGGGGCCAGGCTGGATGGCACTGACATCTCTGGGTGGTGCTTTCCTCCATCAAGAAAAGCCCTTGAAAGAAACCCACCAAGCATTAGAGAGCTTGCAGCCATCTATTAAACTGACAAGGGCTGTGTCCTGCTCCACGACCCCTTGCCACCGTTGTCAGTACAGTTTGCTATCCCTTGTTCTCTCCCTCCTTTCACTGCCCCAAAGGGGGATGCCCATCCCGTGATGATATTAGTGAAGCGCTTGTGTAATACTCTTATTATGCAATTTGAAAGCTTCTTTCAGCTTAAACACTTAAGGAGAGGAGGCCTTTATTACTTTACTGGAAAAGAAATTCCCTTGAGATTAAGATGGAGCTCCCAATTGATGGATAGTGTATTTTGTTCCAAAAAGCAAATCCCAAAGATAATATCTGTTTCTAATTTGGTCCTGCTTTAAGTCACAACCCTGTATAAATATGAAGTAGTTACGCTTTGGGGGCATATAGGAGGAGAAAGAAAGAGCGTAAGTATGTCTACACACACTTCACAGAACAAGTTTCTGACTGTCTTCTTTCCACGGCTGGAAGGCTCAAGGGACCAGTCCCAGTTTAATTTATTCAGGGAAGCTATGAGTAGCTCCAGAAGGATTCTGACCACATGAAGGCAAGGGCTCTGTACAAGTCCCCAGAGGAGGAGCCAGGGTCTGTGTGCCATCTCTGACCGCCCTCTTTCAATATCGGTGGGGTGAGGAGAAAGACCGCTGGTTGTCACATTTCTTTGGTTGGGATAAGGTTCCTTCAAGGGACCTCTTGTAGCCTGATTCCTCCTGCCCCAAGCACCTCTGGCAGCACAGACCTTCCAGACTTCCTTACCATACTGCAATACCATGGGATGTAGTCAAGCTGAATGCACCTGGTTGTAAGCTCAACAGCTTCTAGAAGCACCACAATGTACTTGGATGTGGGGCTTGGTAAGAGGGAGGGCGTCTGGATATTTTCTTGCTGAAATGTTGCATCTGTTCTCTGTACCATCATTTGCAGTTCCCAGGGCAGGCTCTTTACACAGCACAAAGAAAGAAAAAACCCCAAAATGTCTCCCGGCTGTGTTACCTTGTGCTGTTTCCCATCTGTACAACGGAGAGGATGACAGTGAGCTTTCATTCCTGTTTGTGCTGCCCCTTCTTGGAGTCTTTGGTGCCCCTATCAAGTAAAAACACCCTTTAGAGCAAAACCAACGCCACTGTGATACCATATGGGAGCATGCATTTCAGGACCTTCAGGCTTCTATCCTCCTCTGGTGGCTGAGGTCTCTGGCCAAGCTGTTTTTCTCATGAGGAACTGCAGACTTCCCCGCTGGCTGCTGTGTGAGTGCATCCCTCACGGTGTGTGTCCATTGGGCTTTGTGGGACGTGCAGCTTGACTGGGAAGACTGGTCTGGTTGGGAAAAAACAGTCATTTGGCACCGGGAAGCACCTCTGCTCTTTAGACAGCTTGTGCACATGGAAGGGTTTCCAGCAGAGTGTGTTTTGTTTGATGGAAAAATCAGTCCTTTTGGAAGAAAGCAGCTGCTTTTGGCAAATATGCTCATTAGGTCGAAATGCTAGTGTTCTGTTGAAAACCAGCTTTTTGGATAGGCTTTTGTTTTCCTTCAGCAGCTTTAATTGGAGCTTTATGCTTTTAACAAACAAAAACATGCACGTACCCTCACTCCCCTCCATAGCAGGCCTCCAAGAGGCAGGTACTGAAGGATGCAACCTACACATTATTTCCATGGCCCCGTCTATCGTGGTCCAGTGGCTCCCCTATTTACACTAAGCCTCCCTGAGGAAACTGAGACTCCAGATGTTGGTTTTGTCTCTTGTGCGAGGCCAGCATTTCTCCCCCCACAGAAGCCAGTGCTGGAGCCGCCGTACATTGAGTCTTACCACCGCGTCTGCACCTACAACGAGACCAAGATGGTGACGGTGAAGCTGCCCAAGTGTGCCCCCAACGTGGACCCCTTCTACACCTACCCCGTGGCCATCCGCTGCGACTGCGACATCTGCTCCACTGCCACGACTGAGTGTGAAACCGCCTGAGCTCTCCTTTCCCTTTCCCAGGTGAGGGGGGGCCAAATTCTTCCCTGACTTCACACCCCTGCTACCTCCAGCATGACAGAGGGTGTAAGCCAGTCCAGAGTTTGATCTCACCCTGTAGTGCTCCTAATCATTGACTTTTCTGGGCAAATGAGGCTTAATCCCCTCTCCTCGTACTGTTCCAAGCATTATTGCTGTAGACGTGTAGTGCACAGCCTTACAATAGCAAATCCTGTGGGAAAAAAATAATAAAATGCTGCAGTTTCCCTTCCTTACAGGCTTTTCACACTGTGTGACCTTTCTTCACGCACAAAGTGCACATGGACTAAATAAACAGTCACTGGGGGGTGGAAGGAGGCCACAGAGGCATTGCAGCCCCTGTCACAGCCTCTTTATTCAGGCTGGGTTTTAGCTCCCTCCCAGTAATACAAATGCAATTACCAACATTTCTGCCATCTCACCCCCGCCATTAGTGCCTCTTGCCCTGAGGTCTGTCAGGATTAACAGTCGAAGAAAAGGCCTTAAGGCCAATGAAATGGAAATAGCTATCCAAATTGCTAACTTGAAATCAGAGTGAATGCGTACTCAGCCCTGACTCACCAAAGTACTTAAGCTTATGATTAAGTGCTTTGCTTAATATCAGTGGACTTTTACAGTTAAGCACATATTTCAGTGCTAATTGGAGCTATTCTGTTGGAAAAAAAGCCTCACAAGAGACAGTTCCTTGAAAAAAAAGAAACACATTAAATCTATAAAACCAAAAGTGCATATCTTCCCATCTGCTTTTGTACAGGGATAGGAGGGGAATTGACTTCATATAAAGTCAGCGAGGCTCTGCATGGCCCAAGGAGTCTCTCCTGATGATTTCCAGAGTCAGAGGGACCAAGCCAAAGCACGATGACTGTGGTTTGGTTTCAGCGAGCCCCTGGCTGAGGCAGTGGGAAAGAGGGGGCTATGAAGGGTGTTCCCACACTCCCCTGTGCTGCTCCGCTCCGTGGAGACCTGCTCCTCCGAGGATGCACATGGAGCTGGGGGGCAGCCAGGCAGGAAAGCTGTGGAGTGGCCGACAGACAAGCCCAGGACAGGAAAGAGAGCAGACGTGCAAAGTATGGTTCACACCTCCTCAGCCCCACTATTTACAAACCGGGGGACATCTGGGAGCTGCTGCAACAGGCCCACTGGTGACACAGCCACAAAGTGCCTTTGTCCTCTGCTTCCCACCTGGAGATTATCCGTGCTCATCCCTCATTTCTCCCCTGAACAACATGGGAAATTATGTGAAAGCAGGAAGATTTGCCAAGTGGGAGAGGCTTGCAGGAGCTTACAAAACAAAGACCCCTTTTCAGAGAGCCTTTAGGAGCAAATTGCTGCTGAGAGCAATACCTGCCCCTGACTTCCCCCGTTAAGTTCTCGTCTTCTGGGTGCAGTCATCTTCATTTGCAGGGATGCATGCTTGAAACATCCTAAATGCCCTGTCCTCACTGAGACAGATGTAATTTAATCTTTAGTTTATTAACTGCTATCATTTTTTTTGTCTGTGGAATTGTAAAAGTAGGGAGGGGATTTTGTCACTGCCTTCTGTCATTCTGAAAAGAGACCGCTGTATCAAACAGCAGCAGGAGCAGTTTGCTGAGGTTAACTGTCTTTAAAAAAAGTCCTTGTGTTTTGTTTCAAATTGCATCTCACAATCCATCTGACCTTGTTATTTTTCTAGCTGGTGTCACAACTATTATGGGAAACCTGCAAATTATTTTGTGTCCTTAATAAACCTCAAAAGTGTAGTATGAAAGCAATTTAAAGCAATGCATTCCTCTATATTTATGTGTGCAGAATGTGTATAAGCTCCTACAAACTCTTTGCAAGAGTTGTGAACACCTGCAAAACATCTCCTTGATGCTGATGTGAAGTCATTTCCTTGGCTGGATGTCTCTCAGGGAGTCTGGCTGTGCTATCTTCTCAGGGTTAGAAGTAGGGTTAGAAAGTGGCAAGCTTCCTTCCCTCGCAGCTAACAGGAAATTTGGGCTGTACCCAGATAGTGAGACAGTGGGAACCTCAGCAAGCATTCAGCAGTAAACACTGCTGGGTGTGAAGGAGGGTTTTTGGCTGATGCAGTAGCAGCCAGACTGGGAGGCGGAAGAGGGAGAGTGGGAAAGATGTATTGACTGAAACCAAGCTAACACTTCTAGATGGTCTTTTAAGGAGGCAAACGAAAGAGAATGGAGATGCTGGGGGTTTGCTGTGGGTGAAAAAAGTATAGCTGATGCCAGAGCCCACCAACCCGTTTGACTGCTGTACCCCTTTCTTCGTCCATCTCTGCTGGATTCCCAAAAGTGGGCACCTCACATTGAGTTCCAAGGAGCCAACTTCATTCGTGCTATCA